AAAGTGAGTACTTTATACAAGTAAGAATTATTATGCTATATGAATATGTGCGTAAAAAAGATGTTGGGTGGTGAATCTGAGAGATGTTGCCCTAGTCTAACAAAAACTGAAATGGTGCCAATAATATTTACTATATATTATCRATTTGAGCACTAATTACTGGCGCAAAGAAAATTGCAAAAAGTTAAATTTAGAAGATGGGTGGGGCTGGGGTAACGTTACTCCAGCTCCACCCGTGGAAAATTCGACTTTCCGGGAAAACCGTTAGAGCAGGAATTCCGGGGTTTGCGGCAGGAATTGGCAGGAATTGAGCACTAATTACTGGCGCAAAAAAAAATTGCAAAAATCAAATTGGSGGGGCTGGGGTAACGTATGTAAAAACAATGCCTTCTCTTCGTTTCAGACTCGCCACTGAGTGGCTTTTCATATGTAGCAGTGAGTGAGCTGATATAATATAATTGATACAATAAGAGCAAAATTCTGCGTTTTACATTATTACTTCCATAACACTGTTTCAGACTAAACACATAATAATATACTATACTTCAATTATACTATTAAAATTTATAAGTAGTGAATTATTTTTAAAAACCCTATCATTTGATAAATGAGTAACAAACTAATAACTAAATAAGTAAACGATTCCAAGAGATAAACAGAATCGTTCCGATGAGTCGATGATGACGCCGCCGACGTCATTCGTCCGTGCTAGATATATTATTATTATGTTTACGGTTATTATTCGTACGGCGACATCGATATAATATATCATATATCATAATATTCTATGCTATTAATATATTAAAACTTAAGAGGATGTCAGCGCACAACTTTCTTTCTCTCTCTCTCTCTCTCTCTCTCTCTCTCTTTCTGACCCACGGCTACGTGCAACATAGCAAATTTGCGTTTTAGTATACATAAGCCAGTGCTATTAATTTTAAGAATAGAGTGCATTTACTTATTATCAAACATTGCTCGAGTCCCTAATTTAGTCATTTTACGATATTTAATTTTTTTCTTTTTTTTTGTAAGTAATTACTATAATAAACATGTAAACTATTACAATTAAAAAATGCTCATAAAATGTTTATAAATTAAAATATCGCAAAAATGCAAAGTAAATACAAAGGTAATATTCTTAACTAAAAGTATAATAATAAGTGAATTTACTTTAATATTAAAATTAACAATTAGAGAAAACAAATGGCGAGCTGATATCCTCTTAATAAAACGCCGAATAGACTACTCATGGCTATTATTGTAGTGTACCTTACATATTATAAATCTTCATTGAAAGACGATGATAACGTACWTGTATAAAAAGTAATACAGTTAGAATTTATACCCTTTATTAGTCTTGGTCTTGGAGGTCAATAATCAACTATATAATTGATTGTGTTTGTCACTGTGACAAAATATTTCATAKGTAATTCAGTGTTAGGGTGGATGGGTCATCGCCGAGTAATTTTTAGCAAGATTTAAAATTATAATGCATTTATAAGCATTATAAACAATATTAGAAACTAATATTATGTTATTAATTTATTTAACAACGAATTATTGTATTTCAGATGAATATCGGTGCCAGTGGTATTAGCTATCAGTATAGTAGAAATCGTAATACGTATAATATATATTGTGTGCAATGCATACCTAATTAGAGTAATCTATTTTGTTCGATGATAGCGTTCCAACAGTAAACAGAAAATATRTTTGTATATTTAAACWTATTATATTATCATAGTGACTTTATACAGTTTCATACTGCATTAATCCATTMTAAATCATATCATGATGTAAAATATTATATCATGTCAAGAAACATTCATTGTAAATTCAAATCTTAAAATTAAATAACCAAATGAAACATTAATAAACATTAGGTATTTAAGTATAATGAGTTTTTTTGACCATCAAAAATCTTAACTTATAAAGATTAAAGTCACCACTTTTTGTAGTCGTAAAAAATATGTAATATCGACTAATAACTTATATTTTATGAAATTTTAATTGGGGAATACTGCAGTGCATGTTGTGCATATACTATTTTTACTATAATATAATTAGTTACATATTTACTACTACTGCAAACATTATGCCTTATACTTACATGACGTGATATCATGTTTGATATCGCTGGACAACGGGACAATGAAATTTTTACCGAACGAATAAAAACCCCACCGTATAATAATATAGGTACACAGTAAACGACTAAACGAGTCATATTTCATMGTGTATTTCCGACGCTCGTAGTAGGGTCATGAGATTTTTTTTTTATATTTTTTTTTTAAATATTATAATATAAGTACGTAAAAAGCAGAATATTGTTCTTGTAACGTACCTTTCCCTTTACGTCGACTTGTACGATAGAATCGCCACCACTTCCGGATCCTACTGGCCTGCGCTGCTGTGGCTGTTTTTGTTCGGGGGTGATGGTACCGATGATCCGCCGAACAGGTGGCACCGGAATATCACCGCTTCCGGTGGTCTTGGTCGATGAGGTATTTGAAGACGCCGTAGACCCAGCGACTGTGCCTTTGACAGCTGCCACAGTTGCCAAATGCTTCTGCTGGAACTTTTTCTGCACAACGTCGTATAATATATGATTGTAGTAAAATATATTATTAAAATACTTTGTTAGACACGGCCCTATAATAGAATGTCAGCTTGACATTTGATTGATCATAATATATATTCGTTAGTTTATAAAAAGGGATTTTTAGTAATTATTTGATATTATATTAGCTGCATAAATATTAAGTATATTGAGTTATATAGCATTATAATATGTGACTAACCATCGATCGACTACATATTCAGTAGGTCTAATTATAATATCGATATGCTAGTATATTATATACCTACTCAACTCGAATCATATATTTGAAATTTACTGTTATAAAAGACAATAGTAAGTATTTATTATTTTAACGTTTATTATTATGATAAAAAAAGAGACAATATTAATTTATAAGCTATATAAATTATAAACTATATGCATGCTGACGTATAATTTTTTTAAGTGGTTACAACTGAATTAGAACAAATTTTCGACAACAAGAAAAATATAAATTTGAAAGCTTAAATATACATTTTAATTATCTTGCAAATGATACCATATTATTGTCTTTGCTAGTTGTTGAAAAATAAAAAGTTATGACAAGGCGGTCATTACTRCTGCTACTATAGCTAGTACAATTTTAAAATGAATAAAGCATCAATTATAACTTATAAATTATAAATGATTACTGATGTAATTTTATAAAAATATTATTATAATATGTTTTTGTTATCTGCAGGGTGATAATGTCATATCGGACAATACTGTTCTSCGTATTGGCTAAAAAATTGGTAGTAGGTAAGACAACTTAAATGTAAATTGTTCTTTCTAAACGACGGAATCGCATAAACAGAGGGGCATTGTATTACTTTATGTGTCAGTAGAAGTGTCATAATGTATCTTATAAGACCATGTATCTATTCTGAAGCAAATTTACAATAAATCATATAGGTAGACCATCAGCCCGATGTCACCGTCACTCACTTGCATGTCTATCAATCTCGATTGCTGTTGACCAGTCGCCACCGGTGCCCGCAAAGGTGACGATGCCATGATCACGGCGATCTACTTTGTCTACAGCAGTGATAGTGTCTTTCGTCGTCCTCACCACCGTTTTGCGCAAGTGCTTGTGCAATGAAAGCTGTTTGAATTATCTTGGATGGAGTAGTCGCCGAGTTTCGTACTCTACATAAATCATAACACACGGATAGGATTAAACACAAATTATTGTTACCGCAAAACAAAAGAAGTCCGTTACTCGAAGTTTGGTCAAATAACAAGTTCGGTTAAATGTCTAAAGACTAGAACACTGTATATTATAACCGTATAAAACTGTATAACCTTGAAAAGTAAAATTGACCACGCTATAACTTATTTTGTAAGCTATATAACCCTATATAAACGCTATATAGTATATATACATATAATATGCCCACTGCCCTTATAATCGATGAAACAATACAATTTTTGTCCTCAAACTACAGAGATTGGATAATCCATACTGATCAAAAATATATTGTATATAATAATATATAATTGATACTGTATTATTTACCCATATAATGTAAAATATAATAATAAAATAGATTAACTTACSACCTAGTAAGGCGCGGTGGTTGTATTAAGTCACGAAATGTGTTCAGAGTATATCATACACGTATTCTGACCAACCGTACTCTACTCAGTCTACTCACRGTAATCAACCTACTAAGAAATCTACAAACCACTATAATGGTCATAGTTTCCGGGCTTAAGATTTATAAAAAAAAAATAATAATAAAGTAACGCAGATGATACAGTTATTTTTGTTTATAAAAGTTGAATACAGTAGTGAGCGATGCCGATCCAAAACTTTGTTCTAAACAGTCTTTTAAAAATAAACAAACTCGCAATGCATAGTTCTAAACTATAATCTCAATAATAACCATTTAATTGATAATATTTTATATATAGCAAAGAAGAARTATAAAGAAAACATACTATACGGATACCCTATATGAGATACTTACACCCACTCCTGGGACATACAGAAATCTAATAAATTTTATCAACGAGGCTGAATTCCACCATATAATTTAATATTACGCTACCTAAGGAAACAATATACATTTATAAAATAGCAATTTAATGTAATGCAAATCCTACCTATTTGGCTATATTTTCTAATATAAATAATGAAACTCCAGCTAATAACCCAAGAGGCGATGCTTTAAAATTAATAAAAATATATATCTATAGTATTTATGATTCACATTTTCTTTATAATTTTTTTTTATACCTAGTAAAATTTAACAATAAACATTTTTTTTTAAAGTATGATTGCTCGGACTGTCGGTCTATATAGTCATTAARAAAATAATTGCATTGGATTCTTTATGATTTCCTCGCATATGCCTATATATACCTATAGTTAAGGCGCCTGATGCCAATGTTATTTTGTCCTCAAAAATACAATTTATACGGGAATAATATAATATATGATCCTACCCTGTATAGAAATAACCAAATTTGATAATTTTCATTTAGGAGAATATTTTTCAGCCCATATCAATTTTAATTTTCAATATTTTAATCTCAAACTTAGTAATAAGTCTTTAAAAATATAATAATTCTTAGCAATTTTTTTTTCAAATTATTTTGTACCATTATATAAAATCAATTAAAAAATCTGAGATCGATGCGGGCCGTAGTATGTTGTTTTTAATCAATTAAAAAGAATATTCAGTTTTCAGCGAGTTATGATGCATATTACAGTGAAGTCATATTTTGTCCGCCGAAACGAAGAAGTAAATATTTTATTGTTTGTTATTTAGTGATAGGTAAACCGCGAGTGCGTGAGCRTTGCTCATATATCCCCTTTCWAYTYACCACATCATCATCATCATCACATATAAGATATAACGCATATAACAATAAGAATAACGTATTACGTAATACGAAATAGATTAAATATTACTGATATTATTATCAGCGCAAAGCGTAAAGGTCGGGCCATGGGTTTTCTGCCGTGATTACTTCGTGTAGAAATTGCATACGTTATTTAAAATTATTTATTGTTTATTACTTCTTACATAATTGTAAGAAGTAATAATAAAAATAATATACTTTTTTTCTACATTTTTAAATACATACAATATAGGTAATATAGAGTTTAATTATATACCTATTTATATTATCCTAGCATCCAACAACCACAGCATACAGAAAAAATATTATTTGCTGTTAAAATTTTGATTGAAATAATTATTGAGGATTTTCAAATGATTAACAATCAATAATTGAGATTAAATATTGATRCTTATCGGCTATCAATAACCATACAKTWTTCTAAGGTTGTCGGATATACAGCTAATTTGAATTTGGCATGATCGGTCGATAATAATCTGCCCACTTTGGAATAGACAGCAAAGCATTCCCTCTTCTACTAAATTATGTTCATATAAATATTGAATACAATTATTTTAATATAGCTATAACGATTTATATTCAAGAAATAACCATAACCGTAATGTAACAGAGATACATCGAGTTCATATGGTGGCGGTGTTGGTAGTAGTGTTCAGTCATAATTGTATGGTTAATTAGTTAAGTAATTAATATAACATTGGTAATGACTATTATTATCGTGATGAACGGAATAGATATCATGCAATTCCTTTTATACCATTTATACCACCAACGTCATATTAATGTATTATTATAATTTATAGGGAGTTATATGATATGGGTATAAACAGGTAGGTATCTACGTTGGCGGCCGTTTCCGACGGAATGGAATATTTTAATAATTTATATCCTACTTTTATAGTAAATAATTTATTCATAACAAATAAAAACGTATCCTGATAAAAAAAAAAAAAAAAAAACCATAGAGTATAGACACTAGACACTATAATTAATATGCTAAACTTTTGGAATGAAGTATACCAAGAATTAAAAAAAATATATAGGTATCTAATAAATAAGTATAATTTTTTAATTGGTTTTATTAAAATAACACTGTTGACTGTTGTCTATCGTCAGTAGCTGATATTAATAATGTATGCGATACATCATACATATATAATACCATAACTCGAAAGTTATTTATAAGTTATAAGATCGGTAGCATTGCATTTAAAATATGCAAAAAAAAAATTGTATTTAAAAAAAAAAATTAATTTATTAACTATATCAGTTTATTTATTACAGAGTTGATAAAAAACATGATTTAAAAAAAAAACTGTTTTAATCGTTTAAAACATGTTTTTTTTAAATGATTTTTTTCAACTGTTTTATACATGATTTCATCGAGTTTAAAACAAAATATGAATTTTGCTAATGAAATTTGCATTTATTTGCTGGATGAATAACTGTCAAAATTATTACAGTAATATTGAAGTCCAGCGCATATGGAGGTGGTAACTGGTCAGTCATTTTTGAATAATATTTAATGATCATATTATTGTTGTATACTTATAATTGATATTGGTATTATATTATTACGCATAAATTACTATTTTATAAGCACTTAACGTGTTAACACCAAATAATATTTTCTTGACAAGCATCGAAATATGAATCACGTGTTCGCATACGTACGTGTTGATTGTACATTGTACCAATTGTACCTAATATTTTATTACTGTTTAGTATCATATTTTTTTATTATTCGCGATACCAAATTTCTTGGAAAAAAATAATTCAAAATCGATAATCGTTGTAATACTGATAAATAACAAATAAATTTGAATTAAACAAACTTTAAAAATTGTTTAA